CCCTCCCCACACACCCCACTGTAGCTCTGTTCAGGGGAGTGTATGCCCCTGAACTTTGTGTGTTCCAATAGGTGGGCCATGGGGCACACCGGGCCAGTGTCACTGTGTTACTGCGGCAGCAAAACCCCTCAAGTGCCTGGATGTTTCACTACGTGCTGCTGCAAGTGTTGACTTCTGGGGGACTGCGCCAACAGCTCAAAGGGCAAGCTCAGCTAAGGGATGTTCTGTGCTTCTTGACCCGAGGAATTTTGAAAAACAAATCTTTTAAATTTTTGATTTTGTGTGTTTATAAAGTTGTTCAAGAGAAGAAATTTTGTGGTCGTAAAATACATGCGACAATATTATCAGGTGGGATCTTCCTTCACCAAAGCTTTTCCTTGTCTCGGTTCCCTGATTCATTAAGTTTCAAATAACTCAGGGTTAAAAAGTTTGATTTCTTCAGAAAGTCTCTGTGCACTCTTTAATTTTTCCTCCTGTCCTCTTTGTTGCTATATTCCAGTTTCATATTTGAGCCAGCGGAAATTCCTCTGACAAGGGTTCCTCTAATTTGTGTTTGCTTCTGATCCCCCACTTGTAAGCTGTCTGCCTGCCCCTTGAGCTGTTTCACAGACCCTTTTTGTTGACACAAACCTTGATATTACTTCAATGTGTACGATTTATTTGTGCTTTTCATTTTTATGGAAATGTCCTAAGTAATTATCGACAGGGGGCTACAAATGGTATTTAATTGTACATTTGGATAAGTTTGCCATTGTGGGAGAATGAATGACCTATAGATTTTTTAAATGTAATAGTTAAATGTAAACAAACCAATTGGGTAGATAAGCTGTAAATGCAGTGCGCTGCTCATAGTGCTCTGATGAAGTGGAGTTTTTTCATTGCTAACCAGTGAGACACAGGTTTAAGGACGCTGCCATTGTTGAGAATTATTGGTAATCTTCCTGTTGTGGAGCAAGTTGCCTTCTGCCCTAAAGCTGTGCTCCCAGTGGCCAGCACGAAAATCTTGAGCAGTGGAGATTTGAGGACTGTGCCCTTACTTGTTTTGAAACGATGAAGAGTAAGGTTTAGCTCTATGTCTGTTTAGGAGCTGTATAACAAATAAAGTCGTACCAGAGTTGTGATTCAAAAGGGGCACAGTATGGTACGGTCAGTACGATGTGCTGTTTACCTTTGAGACTTCTCATAAAGAATTCATGAGCACCAGTATTCAGCTCAGCTTTTGACCTGTGTGAAAAGGTTAACAAAAGTAGCCCTTGTGCTGAAGGTGAAGACAAGTTGTGTGTACCTTACTCTTTGTGTCCTGTGTGGGGAATGTTATAGTGCAACTTTCCAGAAGAGTTATGGGCATTGTTTAGAGCTAGACTTAATATGCTCCAGTCTAAATACTCAGCCCTCAGACTCCCTCAGCTGATGGTCTTCTCATGTTTCATGAGAAATGAGAGAATTATCAACTCATATCATGGGGTTCTGGAATCTTTTCAAAGAACACATTCACATATAAATATATATATATATACATTATTATACAATATCAATTTGAAAAAAGAAAATCTCTCCGTGGTGTTTTTTATTACTGTGTGATGCTTATAAATGACGCGATGAGTATATTCTACTTTTCGTTTTGTCCTCTAGTTTACACACTCCTTTGGTTGTAATATTTGTCTTTCTTTCAACTCAACTAAGATCTGTCCGTGCATAGGCGAATGCTTCCTAAAAGTTGTGCAGAGATTATGGTTGTGTTGTTACAATTTTTGTAGCAAGTTTTTCTTTCTATTGGGCAGAGTCCCACAGTGTTTGATCTGAGTTCGTGAATTTACATCTGCGTTTGTGAACGCTTCTGACTTTTTTCTATGCCTTTATACCATGCAGATTATCAATACTAGAGTTGTGTTTTTTGAAGAAGGAAATCTGTGAATTTTAGATTTATTTTTCCTTTTACCTGTTTTTAAAGAACAAATTTAATTGAAACTGCCTCAAGT